ATATTCCACTTCCAGAGTGTATCCTATAACTTTTCATGGGATGCGTGATCAATCAAAGCATGATGCTTGCTGAAATGATAGAGGCTATCAGCATAACATGTGCAAACGACCTCCTAATTGGTTGCTAGCTCGTCCATTATCGGAGGTCAACGGGCAAAGAAAGGGGTCCCATTTTGCGCCTTCTTGACGGATTTCTTTGCTTTTTCGCCACTGGGGCATTATTCAGCATCTCCACTTCCACTATGAACCCAGTCCAAACTTATCGTAATCCCTCGCTTTAAAGCTGCAGGCCTGCGCCGCCAAGCTTGCGCTGTTGGGTGCCGATTAAGGCGCTGCAAATTGTCGTGTCCGTGATCCAAGTCATATTCGTGTTCAGGGCAGGGGATAATTCTCAAATACAGGTCTTTGGCGAATTTACAAGGAGGAACGTTCGTAAACTAGCGCCAACGTGGCGCCAGTTGGCGCGAGCGTCACAAATTAATGCCATATTCGTAATCAGCGCATTGAATTAGGTATTTAGGTGAGCTTCCACAAGTAAAATACCCTCTGGTTTTCTGTGGTCCCACGTGGCAGACACTCCGAAATCCGCCCGGTCGCCAACGTGTTAATAGCTTTCCACTCCATGACGCACCGGCCCACACCATCTATATCGAGACACAGTGATGGCTGCAGAACACCCGGACTGAGCTCCTTTTTCTCACGGTGGTTCAGATGTTTTTTGCTACAAAATCGAGGAGAGCTCCTTAGCTGAGAACGATCCGCTTTACAAGATTTTTATCTTTACTTTGACGCTTAAAGCACTCTGCGCGTTTCCCCGTTTGACGTTTTCGGTATTTGACGCAGCAGACCCGTATCTGAAGAGTGACGATTGAACAATCTGCAGGCCCCGATAAGCTGACCTCGGATACAAATGTGAATCATGGTTTATTCAGACTACGCCGAACCAAGGCCCGTAGAATTCCAGTGCGCGTGACGAAATGGGTCGCTAGAAAGGGTCGTTACGCCACTCACGCCGTCGAAAACCATAGCGGAGTTATCGGAGCTGCACGAAGTCAGCATCGTGTGGATGAGCTGTTTCCAGCATGCTTACCATTAGCTGACCTCCGGGAATATTTTGGAGAGAGCTTATCCAAGTGGCTTCTTCCAAGTGCGGCGTCCACGTCAAATCCATAGGCACGCCTACCCATAGTGTTAACCGTATCATCTTGATTAGGCGGCTTTCTGAGATGTTTCAGCCTTCTTCTCAGCTGATGTTTCTCTGCAGTGCGTAAAAACAATTTTTGGGGAAGTCGCTTGGCAATTTAAAAAGCTTACAGGCTGTTTTCTGAAAGCAGAGAAATGGTTTTGAAGACAACGGCATGCATGCTGTGAAAGGTAACCGAAGCCCTGTATCGAAATCGGATCGCGGACAGGAGGCCCGCTGTTCGCCAAAAAGGCAAACAAGCAGACGGGTCAGCGTCAGTCGCAGCGCGTTGTGTAGCTACATATTCAGAGTCAAGTTTAATAGATTGTACTGCAGTACGTGTCACATTACACAATACGCGCTGCCACTCTTCTACTGACCGCGTGTCGTATGTGTAGCTACCTCCTCACCGCGAGACGAGTCTATTGTAGGGTTCCTCGAAGCTGGTAGGGTATATTCAAACCAAAAAAAAACTAGATGTCACTTCATTATATAAACCAACTTTGGTGTGTCGGTTTGTCGGTGTGTGTGTCGTTCTGTCCGTCCGGACCGACAACTAACAAAACTAGGTGACACCAGACAACACTTTGAGTCATTCGTTGATAATATAACCCCACCCCAGGTCAACCTTCAACGTTATCATACGTTTCGTCATCGATGCCGACGAACACTCAAGTGGACTTGTACACCGTCGCCTTTGATTAAAAACTCAAACCGCCTCAATCCTGCTGCCGCACTGCCAGTCCCATTCCAACCGTCCATTCAAAAAGGACCTCCCCCTGGCCCGGATGAAACCGACTTCATTTTCTGGGATAAAACGGCAGTCGGAGACTCCGGGCCAGTTTTTGCCAGTCTTCGCGGCTTCGCCGGTCTCCTCAACTTCTCCAGTCGTCTCCAGCGGTCTCCATACAAGCGACTCCGGTCGCACCAATAACCTAAGGCGGCAACGCCAGCAACAAACAAATAATCAATAAGCACAAGCAATCAATAAGGTACAGCCAGTGGATCATCCACCGGCCAAGGCCACCAATCAATATCACTAACCAAGGACCACCAACTCACACCTCCAGCCACTATCGACCAACACCTTAAGGCACAAATCAATATTGAAGAACCCAATACGAATTCAGAGTAAGGGCTAACCAAACATAACGCTAACTAATGTAGGAAATAAATTGTATAAGTTGTAATATAAGTCAACGATTGCTTTTAGGAATTGTGGTATAAGAGATGTTAATAAATGTTAAGAGATGTTA